GGGTATCAGCCCTTTGTCAGATGGGTAGATTGCAAAAATTTTTTCCCATTCTGTTGGTTGCGTATTCACTCTAATGATTGTTTCTTTTGTTTTGCAGAAGCTGTGGAGTTTGATTAGGTCCCATTTGTCTATTTTGGCTTTTGTTGCCAATGCTTTTAGTGTTTTAGTCATGAAGTCCTTGCCTATGCCTATGTCATGAATGGTTTTGCCTAAGTTTTCTTCTAGGGTTTTTATGGTGATAGGTCTTATGTTTAAGTCTTTAATCCATCTGGAGTTAATTTTAGTGTAAGGTGTCAGGAAGGGGTCCAGTTTCTGCTTTCTGCACATGGCTAGCCAGTTTTCTCAACACCATTTATTATTCAGGGAATCCTTTCCTTATTGCTTGTTTTTGTCAGGTTTTTCAAAGATCAGATGGTTGTAGATGTGTGGTGTTGCCTCCAAGGGCTCTGTTCTGTTCCATTGGTCTGTATCTCTGTTTTGGTACCAGTACCATGCTGTTTTGATTACTGCAGCCTTGTAGTATAGTTTGAAGTCAGGTAGCATGATGCCTCCAGCTTCGTTCTTTTTGCTTAGAATTGACTTGGCTATGTGGGCTCTCTTTGGGTTCCATATGAAGTTTAAGGTGTTTTTTTTCCAGATCTGTGAAGAAGGACATTGGTAGCTTGATGAGGATAGCGCTGAATCTACAAATCACTTTGGGCAGTATGGACATTTTCACGGTATTGATTCTTCCTAACCATCAGCACAGAATGTTTCTCCATCTGTTTGTGTCCTCTCTTATTTCATTGAGCAGTGCTTTGTAGTTCACCTTGAAGAGGTCCTTTACATCCTTTCATAGTTGTATTTCTAGATTTTTTATTCTCTTTGTAGCAATTGTGAATGGGAGTTCACTTTTGATTTGGCCCTCTATTTGTCTGTTATTGATGTATAGAAAGGCTTGTGATTTCTGCACATTGATTTTGTATCCTGAGACTTTGCTGAAGTTGCCTATCAGTTTCAGGAGATTTTAGGCTGAGATGATGGGGTCTTGTAAATATACAATCATGTCATCTGCAAATAGAGGCAATTTGATTTCCTCCTTTCCTAATCGAATACCCTTTATTTCTTTTTCTTGCCTGATTGCTCTGGCTAGAACTTCCAATACTATATTGAATAGGAGTGGTGACAGAGGGCATCTTTGTCTAGTGCCAGATTTCAAAGGGAATGCTTCCAGTTTTTGCCCATTCAGTATGATATTGGCTGTGGGTTTGTCATAAATATCTTTTATTATTTTGAGATACGTTTCGTTAATACCTGGTTTATTGAGGGTTTTTAGCATAAAGGGCTGTTGAATTTTGTCAAAGGCCTTCTCTGCATCAATTGAGATAATCATGTGGTTTTTGTCTTTGGTTCTGTTTATGTAGTGAATTACGTTTATAGACTTGAGTATGTTGAACTAACCTTGCATCCCCTGGATGAAGACTACTTGATCATGGTGGATAAGGTTTTTGATGTGCTGTTGCAATTGGCTTGCCAGTATTTTATTGAAGATTTTTGCATCTATGTTCATCATGGACATTGGCCTGAAGTTTTCTTTTCTTATTGAGTCTCTGCCAGGTTTTGGTATCAGGATGACATTGGTCTCGTAAAATGATTTGGGAAGGATTTCCTCTTTTTGGATTGTTTGGAATAATTTCAGAAGGAATGGTACCAGCTCCTCTTTGTATGTCTGGTAGAATTTGGCTGTGAATCCATCTGGACCTGGGCTTTTTTTGGTTGGTAAGCTAATAATTGCTGCCTCAACTTCAACCCTTGTCTATTCAGGGTTTTGACTTCTTCCTGGTTTAGGCTTGGGAGGGTGCAAGTGTCCAGGAATGTATCCATTTCTTCCAGGTTTGCTGGTTTATGTGCATAGAGTTGCTTGTAGTAATCTCTGATGGTGGTTTGTATTTCTGTGGAATCTGTAGTGATATCCCCTTTATTGTTTTTTAATGCATCTATTTGATTATTCTCTCTTTTCTTTTTTATTAATCTGGCTAATGGTCTGTCTATGTTGGTAATCTTTTTGAAAAGCCACCTCTTGGATTTATTGATTTTTTGAATGGCCTTTTGTGTCTCTATCTCCTTCAGTTCTGCCCTGATCTTAGTTGTTTCTTGTCTTATGCTAGGTTTTGAGGCTTTTTTGATCTTGCTCCTCTAGCTCTTTCATTTTTGACAATAGGGTGTCAATTTTAGATCTTCCTTGCTTCTCATGTGGGCATTTATTGCTATATATTTTCCTCTAGACACTGCTTTAAATGTGTCCCAGAGATTCTGGTATGTTGTGTCTTCATTCTCATTGGTTTCAAAGAACAGCTTTATTTCTGCCTTCATTTCATTGTTTATCCAGTCAACATTCAAGAGCCAATTGTTCAGTTTCCATGAAGTTGTGTGGTTCTGAGTTAGTTTCTGAGTTCTAACTTGATTGCACTGTGGTCTGAGAGATTGTTTGTTATGATTTCTGTTGTTTTGTATTTGCTGAGGGGTGATTTATTTCCAATTACGTGGTCAATTTTAGAGTAGATGTGATGTGGTGCTGAGAAAAATGTATATTCTGTGGATTTGGGGTGGATAGTTCCATAAATGTCTGTTAGGTTTGCTTGGTCCAGGTCTGAGTTCATGTCCTAGATATCCTTGTTAATTTTCTATCTCATCGATCTGTCTAATATTGACAGGGAAGTGCTAAAGTCTCCCACTATTATTGTATGGGAGTCTAAGTCTCTTTGTAAGTCATTAAGAAGTTGCTTTATGTATCTGGGTTCTCCTGTATTGGGTGTGTATGTATTTAGGATCGTTAGCTCTTCTTGTTGCATTGGTCCTTTTACCATTATGTAATATCCTTCTTTGTCTCTTTTGATTTTGTTGGTTTAAAGTCTATTTTATCAGAGACTAGGATTGCAACTCCTGCTTTATTTTGCTCTCCATTTGCTTGATAAATCTTCCTCCATTCCTTTATTTTGAGTTTAACTGTATCTTTGCATGTGAGATGGGTTTCCTGGATACAGCACACTGATGGATTTTTACCTTTTATCCAATTTGCCATTGTGTATCTTTCAATTGGGGCATTTGGCCCATTTACATTTAAAGTTAATATTGTTATGTGTGAATTTGATCTTGTCATTTTGATGCTAGCTATTTGTTTTGCCCATTAGTTGATGCAGTTTCTTCAGTGTGTCAATGCTCTTTATCATTTGGTATGTTTTTGGAGTGGCTGGTACTGGTTGTTCCTATGTTTAGTGCTTCTTTCAGGAGCTCTTGTAAAGCAGACCTGGTGGTGACGAAATCTCTGAGCAATTGCTTGTTCATAAAGGATTTTCTTTCTCCTTTGCTTATGAAACTTAGTTTGGCTGGATATGAAATTCTAGGTTCAAACTACTTTTCTTTAAGGATGTTGAATATTGGTCCTCACTTTCTTCTGGCTTGTAGGGTTTCTGCTGAGAGACCTGCTGTGAGTCTGATAGGCTTCCCTTTGTGGGTAACCTGACCTTTCTCTCTGGCTGTGCTTAGCATTTTTTCCTTCATTTCAACCCTGGCGAATGTGACAATTAAGTGACTTGGGGTTGCTCTTATTGAGGAATATCTTTAAGGTGTTCTCTGTGTTTCCTGGACTTGAATATTGACCTGCCTTGCTAGGTTGGGAAGTTTTCCTGCATAATATCCTGAAGAGTGTTTTCTAGCTTGGCTTCATTCTCTCTGTCACATTCAGGTACAGCTATCAAAGGTAGATTAGGTTTTTCACATAATCCCACATTTCGTGGAGGCTTTGTTTAATTCTTTTTTCTCTAATCTTGTCTTCTCATTTTATTTTATTGAGTTGATCTACAATATCTGATATCCTTTCTTCTGCTTGGTCAGTTCAGCTATTGAAACTTGTATATGCTTTGTGAAGTTCTCATGTTCTTTTTCAGCTCCATCAATTCATTTTTATTCCTCTCTAAGCTATTTATTCTCGTTAGCATTTCATCTAACCTTTTTTCAATGTTCCTAGTTTCTTTGCATTGGGTTACAACATGTTCTTTTAGCTCAGAGAAGTTTCTTATTACTCACCTTCTGAAGCCTATTTCTGTCAATTCATCAGACTCATTCTCCATCCAGCCTTGTTCCCTTGCTGGTGAGGAGTTGTGATCCCTTGGAGGAGGAGAGGCATTCTGGTTTTGGGTGTTTTCATTCTTTTTACACTGGTTTCTTCCCATCTTTGTGGATTTATCTCCCTGTGGTCTTTTTACTTGCTGACTTTCAGATGGGGTCTCTGAGTGGACATCCTGTTTGTTGATGATGAAGTTATTTCTTTCTGTTTCTTAGTTTTCCTTCTAATAATCAGGCCCCTCTGCTGTAGGACTGCTGGAGGTCCACTCCAGACCCTGCTTGCCTGGGGATCATCTATAGTGGCTGCAGAACAGTAAGGGTTGCTGGCAGTTTCTTCTTTTGCTTTCTCCCAGGATACCTGCCAGATGTCAACCAGAGCTCTCTTTTATGAGGTGACTCTTTGGATATATGGGGGTCGGGGAGCTACTTGAGGAAACAGTCTGTCCTTTATAAGAGCTCAAGTGCTGAGTTGTGTGCTCCATTGTTCCGTTCAGAGCTGCTGGGCATGTACGTTTAAGTCTGCTGCAGCAGAACTCATAACCAACTTTTTTTCCCAGGTGCTCTGTCCCAGGAAGTTGGGGCTTTATTTATAAGTTTCTGTCATGCTGCTGCCTTTTTTCAGAATGCCCTGCCCAGTGAGGAGGTAGGCTTACATTTTAATCCATTTTAGAAGCAAGTGAGCAGATGAAGTTGAGTTTAGCTACAAGAAGGGAGTTAGGGCTTACTATAAAGGCAATAGCCTCTGACCTCCACTCCCCTCCCCTCTGCTAGCCCCTCCCCACCCCTTCCCACATCAAGAAGAACTCTCTGTAGAAGGTCTCCTCACCTTGTTCAGGCCTGGGAATGTGCAGGTAAGCTGTGAACTGGACAAGTAACAGATTTTCAAGGATAACAATCATTACAAAGTTTGAAATTGTTATTGGAAAACAAGTACAGTCAATTGATCCATGATGCATGCTGTACATGAATTTGATGTTTTAATATATAAAAAATTGGCTTCTGCGGCAAAATTATATAAACAGATTTTTAAAAACTCCTTCATCATTAACCATTACAAGTATAATTTATCAAAAATGTCATTTAAAATATGGCTCAATACCTTTTGTTATGTTGTAAATAGAAAGGCAAGAGAGGGAAAATATAAATTGTGCTATACCAGTTTTAACAACTGGTAATTAAATATTTTGTTGCATTTGCAAACTCTTCTTCAGCACTTAAGCTCTCTTAAAAAAACTGCCATAAAATGCAAGAAAATCTAATTAATGTGGAAGGCATTAAAGATTTTTTGTTTTGTTTTGTTTTTGGTGGGGGACAGCAAGTCAAAGAAGTCCAGGGGGAACTAGGAATGATGCTTCTTCCTCCAGAATCCAATCCTTGGAAGATGGGGAATGACTTTGCACTTTTCTGTTTGGCCCCTCCTCCACCCAGTTTTACCCATTGATTCTTGTCTCTCCTTAAGTTCCAGGTGCCATGCTACTTGTAATTCTTGGTCCTCACCACTCCCACTCTCTGGCCAATTTTGTCACTAATCGAAGTTTCTAAATTGGCTTGCTTTCTTGGCACTATGCATGCTGATACATTTTCTAGATGACAGACTAAAATAATCTGCAAAATTAAATTTGTAAAGCATCTAATAGGCTTTTCAGGACATGGCATCCCTGCTCCATGGGCTTCTGGCTATAGTCTGTGTGCCAAATGAAAGCTAGGCTCTGTCTGCTGGAACAGCAGCTTCAGAGAAACATTGTTCCTTCGAGTTCGCAGAGTGCACCCAGGAGAAAGCAAGTAGAAAGGCAAGAGTCAGAGACTTAAACTCAGGGTCTTTTTGTTTAGGAGGAAAATGATTATTCCAAATAAAATTTGTGTTCACTCATATTAAATACCAGAAATATAAACACCAGAAGGCCTGTCCATATTCATACAACTAGTAAAACTGTGCTTGTGTCCTGCAATCATTGGCATACAAATTTAGCTTTGTGACTTTCCAGGGTTTCTCCAATTCTTCTGAGGCCTGTCATCCCATTTAATATATGTGTGTGTGTGTGTGTGTGTGTGTGTGTGTGTGTGCATGTGTGTGTGTGTATAACCAAAAAGAAGTGCTTTCATTTTCAATGGATGAAGAAATGTTTGCCTTTAGGGAAAGAACATATGAAAGTAGAAGAAATTTTTGTAAAATCTAAACATAATTTTTGAAAATGTCAACATTCAGAAGTTTGGAATCTGGTGTCTTAAATGAAAGCATTCCTACACTGGGTCACTTCCTAGCAAAATGTCATTTCTTCTCACAAAAGTGCCAGTGTAGAGTGAGGGGGACAGTTACTGACCTGAAGTCAAGTACTTAGAACACCAGACTAAAAGCCAGAAATGGAGGCTCAAGTCCTGGGTTCAATGGAACTTAGAATGTGATAAAAAAAAAAAAAAAACTAGGTCACTTTCTCTCTATATAAAATTAGAATAATTGCAAAAATTAAGATAATTGGGGATTTTTTTTTAACAATAAAGCACTATATAAATCTATGTTACTTGTGCAAATTGCTCCTGGAAGGCAGTGGGGGACAGAGACAGCCACCCACAGCCTCTCCCACAGAGGGCAGTGATTCCAACTGGAGAGAGACCAGCCTCCATGACATGCTCACAGCCATCACTGCCATGGACCTGACTGGAAAGAGAGGACTGGAGAGAAAGTTGCCTTTTAGGGAAAGTCTCCTGGGAACTGTGGAATTGGGGGATGTTCTGAATTTCAGTAAAATTCTGATCAGCTAGAGAAAATGCGAGAAGTCCTTCTAGGCAGAGGAGGAAGAAGGGGCCAGGCAAGAGCAAAGACAGAAGAGTGCTGGGGGCAGGTGCCATGACCACGAGGCCAACCTGGGAATTCACACAGCGGGACAGTGAGGGGAGGCTGGCAGACAGAGCAGGGAGTCTGGCTGGAGAGAGAGAAGCTGGTAGGAGAACATGGACTTCAGCTCCTGAACAGGTGGAGCCACCAGGAGGTGTTTCAGCAGGAGCGGGATGACAGAAGAGCAGCATCCCAGGAAGGATGGTTCATGCATTAGCTGTGCCAGGGACAATGAAGAGAAAGGAAGCCACCAGGGAGCTGTCCCTCCAAAGACGTAAAATGTAGAATAATAACGAAGGACAGGATGGTCATGCCAGGGAGGAAAGCATGAAGAAGTGGATCAATTCCCTGCTACCGTTGCTTTTTAAAGTTTTCTCTCTTCTGCGGAAAGCGAAGATAACTTCAAATCCTTGAAATACTGGAGAATCTCTTTTTTCACTGAAGTGACAGTTTTCAAGATCTGTACAATAAAATTCGGTCTTTGGAAACTAACTTCTGGCTGGAGATGTGTGTGGAAAATGCAAGCAAATGGAACGTTCTCCAAGAATACGTCTCCCTTCCTCAGTGAGGTGTCAATCTCACTGCGCCTGCTGTGCTGCTCAGGAGAGCCACTCCAGGGCCAGTGACTCTACAGGGTCCCCAGACAAGTCACAGCCCCGCCCTTGGGCTGTGGATGACTTAACAAAGCCATCTATAGATGGCGGCCATTTCCTGCATGCTCTTTCCTCTAGTTTGCTGTCTCCATGCCTTTTCTCGGCAGTTCAAACATTCAGAAAAGGCATTTACTGCTTTTTTGTGGGGGCAGAGGGACAGCATCTTGCTCTGTTGCCCAGGCTGGAGTGCAGTAGCATGAACTCTGCTCACTGCAACCTCCCTCTCTCGGTTTCAAGCAATTCTCCTGCCTCTGCCTCCCGTGTAGCTGGGATTACAGGCGTGCACCACAATGCCCAGCTAATTTTTGTATTTTTAGTAGAGACGGAGTTTTGCCATGTTAGCTGGGCTGGTCTTGAAATCCTGACCTTAGGTGCTCCATCCACCTCAGCCTCCCAGAGTGTTGGGATTACAGGCGTGAGCCACCATGCCCGGCCTACTACCTTTTTAAAAGATCTTCCCAAGCCCTCTACTTCGAAGTGCCCTGGCCTACCATTGATGCCATGGCTTAGTCCCTTAACAATCTGATTAAAGGTGACCTCAGAGATAAAGGAAGATACAGTTACATTCCATAAACTCTACAAGTCAGTATGAGGCACAGCCTGGCCTGCAATGCCGTAAGACAGGAGGCACCCAAAGAACTCTTGGCAACTTCTCCATGCTACCCAAGAGGCATGTGAGCCTCCCTCTGAAGTTTCTCCTTAGTAGATGGTGACAGTAACTGGTGTTTGGATAAAGGCGACCGTCGCTGGACTGGCATGTGGTATCTGACGTTCTTCCAGAACCTTGTCTTTGCAGACTGTGGTCCCTGTGTAAAGTCCCCTGACCAGCGGATAGCCCCATGTTTCTGTTTAATGAATTTAATAGATTCTGGCATTTTCTCATAGTCTTGGATTTTCTCCAGCTCAAGCAGGACAACTTTAATTCCATCCTGAACAAGAGCATTATACATGGCTATTTGCTCTTCAGATGAACCATCCAGCCAGCTGAAGCCTGATACTTCTCTTACTAAAATGATAATCAGTCTTCTGCTTTTCTTTATGTTTTCATTAATGACCTCAACAATATCTGAAAAACAGGAAGCACAATGCGGTAAGTAAAATTCTATTTATCATCATTCTCTTCTGAACCAAAGCTACACAACCCCATGGCTTTTTCCAACCCTATGGCTCCTAACACCTTTTCCTTGCCTTACTTAAAATTAAAGGAGTTTATTTATTTATTTATTCATTTATTTTTAGAGACAGGGTCTCATTTTATTGTTCACACTGGAATACAGTGGCGTGATCTGGGATCACCGCAGCCTCAAATTCCTAGGCTCAAGTGATCCTTCCACCCTGGCCTCCCAAAGTGCAGAGATAATAGGCATGACCCACTGTGAACTTCCCATTTTATTGATTAACTTAAAAATTGGCCCTCAAAAGACAAATATTTTATTAAGAACTCAGAAAACTTCGTTGGAATTTTAGAAACTTATTATTAAATCATTTGATCTCTCCCACTACTGTTTTGTTGTATCAGTTGTAAAGCAACTATTGGATTTAACTAGCTATTAAGTTTTTCAAAACTGAATGAAAATCGCTTAATTATTGCTCTGACAAAATATGAGAGAAGTAAATACTTTGTATTTAATAAATGTAAAAATCATCATACACCTCTGAAAAGGTTCTTAAAATTGTGAAACATATACACCTATGTCACAAGCTTCTAGAAAGATGGAATCCAGATTTTAGTAAGTAGTTTTACAACAATAAGCCTTTACTTTGTTCCATTACATGCATACCTTCCCCAACATAGTCATCCCTTCCATAAATGAACAGCTTATATCCACACTGCTTTTCCAAGACCTCAGGCAAGACTTTAAACACAAAAATATCACAGTCAGAGGTAGACCCTTCCCCAGTGGTCTTTGGATACAGTATATATGCATCATAGGTCTTTCCGTCTGAAGCTAAAGAAAAAACATAATGTATTTAGAATCACAAGGCAAAAATAAGAGATTTGATAAAGTCAATATCACAAACATTCATTACATCATGAACTATTAATCTTTTTTTATACAATGGCATGTTTGAAGCAACAATACCAAAAATATAATCCCTTTTAAAAGTGTTCATCTCTTATTAGGTTTCCATTTCTTGTGTTTTACTGCAAATTTGTTCTTCTATGTGGTGGCTGCCTCACATCCTCTTAGTATGGAGCCATCCTTAAAGTCTCCCTGCTCTCTTCGTTTCCCCCAAAGGTCTCAGCCCTGAATTCTATACATTCTTTTTTTTTTTTTAAGATATTTTGGTATTCCTTTTGTGTGTGTGTGAAGTTTAAAAAAAGAGAGAGAAAGAATGCCTCCCTGATGCATGAAGAGCTAGTCATTTCATTTCTTTCATTAAGGTATATGATCTGTGTCTGTTCTACCCGTCACAGAGCAAGGTCTCCCAATGGCTTCTGCATAACTGAATTTATAAACAGATGCTTTAAATACCTGTTTATTCTACCAACATGAATGCTGAGAAAGGAACTTAGAAAACAACGACATTCAGCCTAATGAGTTATACAACTATAATTCTGTGTAAGACTAACTGCTATTCTCGTATATGCCATCTGTCATTTCAGAACTTAAGTAAAAACCTTCTTAGTCATCTTCTATATCTCCTAACTATCCCCTATCTCCAACAAGAAATACTGCATGAAATATAAAATTATACCTTTTACTGGAAGAAAAACATAGCAGGAATCCCTGTACCAAAGCACAATATCAATCTTGAAGATTTTATAGATGAAAACGGAACACATAATTATGACTGTCAACATGACACATATACCAATCATGTGCTTCTGGAAATTAGGGACTACAGAAAAAAAAAGAAGAAGAGAAAAAATATTATCACCAAAAAGAATTAAAAATTTGGGCACAGTAAATTAAATATCTGCATTTCAGAGAGACCATATTTGGAACTGGCCTACATTCAGACAGTATTAACTCTTTCATTATTATCACTTTGTAATGGATACTAATGTACAAAGCAATCCAGTATGAATTATATAAAACTAAGGTGCATTCTGTGAAGTTTCTACCTAAATAGCGTAATATACAATAATATGGGGAAAAAAATACCAAAGACCACAAGACAGAGCATTCCACAGTAAAACAGGGAAAAGTCAAAATCCTACTCAAAAGCCTACAAAAGTTCCCAGAGGTAAGAGAGTCCATTGGGTAAAGCCAAAGACTGGCGGAAAGGGAAAAGGTTAGAGGCTTAGGGAAGTTTCACATTTCCACGTTCTCCTAGCCTCCTTCTCTACGTAGTTGTCCAATGATTTCAGAGGAAGTCAGGGAGCAGATAGAGTTGGTGATGTGGAGGAGGCTAGAGAATAAGAAAGAGGAAAGAAAAAGAAAGTACCTTCTAAATATCAGGAATCATGTAAGCATACAGAAAAGAGGACCTAAAAGCTTTATTTACTTTTCCAATTTAGATGATTTGGGTACAAAATAGAAATCAAGTTATACCATTTTCCAGACAAATATCCAGCTGGCCCAATTGATAGTTCACATTTACGGTCTTAAGTACTGTAGCTTCATACAAGATCATGTGTAGTATTAATCCTCTAAATTTATTTTGCTTATTTAAGACCACCATGACTATTCTTGGTCCTTTAAAATTCCCTATGACTTTCACAGGTGTCCACAAGAACACACCCATACAAACACCGACGCTCACTTGCACAAATACTGCTGAGATTTTGATTGAAATTGTTTTGAACACATAGATTCATTTGGGAGAGAACTGACATCTTCATAATATTGAGTCTTTCAATCTATGAATATTGTATATCCCTCCATTTAGTTCTTCTCTAATTTATCTCAATATTTTTTAGTTTGTATTAGAGAAGTCTTGAACAGATTTTGCTAGACTTATTCTTAAGAATTTGATGACTTTTTATGCTACTGTAAATGTTATCTTTTAAATGTAATTTCTATTTATATGCTGCTAGTATTTAAACATACATAGAAGTTAATTTATAGGATCTTTCAGATATTCTTCTATATATGCAATTATAACATCCTATTTTTAATTAAATCAAAAATTGCCTTAAAATGTTTCACAGATACTTTCAGCGTTATGTTTTATTATACCAGTTCATGAAACCAAGTGACATCTGATATCCTCGTTGAAAGTGGATATTTAGTCTTACCCTACGTATCCATCAATGTAATCATTTACTTAAAAATATTCATTAAGTGCCAGATATAGGGGATGGAGGATGGGAGCAGCAAACCACATTGCCATGTATGTACCTATGCAACAATCCTGCATATTCTTTACATGTACCCCAGAACCTAAAATGTAATATTATATATATGTATATATATATAATATTTTTAAATCATAAAATATATATATAAATTTTAATTGATGGGGAAGGAGGAGAAAAATAAAATAAAAAATTTTAATTGACAAATAATTGTACATAAAATATATATATATATATATATATATATATATATTCATTAAGTACCTACAATGTACCAGACCTAACTTGCCATTAGCTGTGGAAATAGAATGATTACTAAGATAAATGCTTGCCACCATCAGAGAACTTACAGTTAAGGATAGAAAACTAAGTACAACAGATCCTGTGACATCTGGTGCTACAGAAGTACATATTGAGGCCCTACCCTCCTCTCTTTGGGCCAAGAGCTGGGTTAAGGGCAGGCAGCAGGACAGAAAAGCTTCCTGGAAGAGAAAGTTCAGCAGAGTAGTAAAAGAGGAATAGACGTTATCCAGGTAAAGAGGAAGTGAAGAGTGTTCTAAGCAGAGGAAATGGCATTGCAAATGTCAAGGTCATGGAATCTTACTACAGTAAAACAAAATTGCATTTCAATTAGCTTGTTGTTTACCTGGATATATTAACTGAATATAAGCTGCATCTACACCATGTGTATTCTTGGCAAAACAGGTAAATGGATGTTCATAAAATCTACTTTCGATTTCCGATATATTAAGCACTGTGATGAGGGTACTCTTTTTTTTGTTTGCAGGATTTTCCACACTGCTCAAGAGAGAGAGAGAGCAAATAAATTTGTGTAAGTACATTGCATCAACTACAAATAAGACATGTATACCCTGTATATTTCCTTATTTGTGACATAAATTGCAGCTGAAATAATCACTTTGCCCAATCACAGTCAAAACAATCAGACTGTTGGCAATACTAATCTGAGATTTTACAACCTCAAGACCGCTGTCAGTAACAGACTCAGTAGCAGAGAAAGCAAAACACTACCACTCCCAAAAAGAAAAAATGTATACAAATGCATTGTGGTCTCTATGGGGCAGTAAGAAAAACATATTAAACAAGAGATTGGGGCAGATGACAAAGTGCTTTGCAGGTGACGTGAAGGAGAGGTCATGGGAAGCCAGGAGATCCTCGTCCCATAGATGAGTTGTAGGAACCCAGCAGTGGATTGCCTGATTCTTGAGCCCATTTAATGAGTGGCTTCTAAACTACTTAAGGAACATAAATAATAATGAAAGATAATTGCTTCATTGAAATGATGCAACATGTACAATTTAAGAGAAAGGCTTCTAAATTGTCTGGAATTAGCATCACAATGGCATGTATTTTTTACCTTAAATGTTCAAGATCTTATAAATCCTGCTTAGTTTAGCCAAAAAAGAAACTGGACAGCAAAAGGTTAGGACCAATCAGCCACCTAACACTTGCTTTTAAATTAAACCAACGTTATGTAAAATATCACCTAGGATTTAATATCAAACTGTGAATGACTCTTAGCATACATACCTGTAGTAGTCTTCCCCCAGCACTGGGTCATCTTCATCAATTAATGACCCATTCCACTTCCAGTAAGCAACGTCGCTCAACTGGCCAGTGACATTACAGATCAATTGTATGTGGGATCCTGCAAAACATGTATTTTTAATCATAACATTAATGGATTTTTTTCTGATCCATCTAGATTAATAAATAGCTATTGAATTAAAATTGTAAATATAGAAATGCACAAAGAAAAAGGAAAATTGCCCTAAACCCATCACCCAGAGAAAACCACCGTTAGTAACGCTATGTATCTCATTCCTTACCTTCTCTGTGAAAATATGCAATTTTTGAAATGAGGTCTTACTGCCTACTATTTTGTAATTACTGTGGATTGGGAATTTGGGCCCGCATGATTTGTCTTCCAAAATAGACTGTCACGGCTGCTTAGTACTCCATAACACGTATACACTATGACTAACTATTTTCCTATTGATGAACACAATTTCTTAATTTTTCATTATTATGATTAATATTTTAATGAATATTCTTGTACATCGGTGTTTGTACATGTTCTGAAGTATTAAAATCTGGAAGTAAGATTGAGTTAAAGAAATGTATCTTAAAAGCTAAGCCCCTCTCTTTAGTGAGGCTATATCAGTCCACACTCCCTCCAGTAGTGTATATGAGCATGATTTCTGCCAAAACCTCCTGATCACAAGTATTTTTGATTAGACATTGCCATTTGAGAGAAGAAAATGTCCCTTAAATTTTCATCTACATTTCTTGAATTCATGGTGAATCAATATGCTTTTTGTTAGCTTGGTGCTCATCGGCCTTGCTTTTAAAAACTGTTATGCCTCTATCTATTATTTAATTGCATTGTTTTAGTGAGGCAGAGTCTTGCTCTGTCACCTAGGCTGGAACGCAGTGGCGTGATCTCAGCTCACGGTAACCTCCACTTCCTGTGTTCAAGTGACTCTCATGCCTGAGCTTCTCAAGCAGCTGGAACTTCAGGTGTGCACCACCATGCCGGTAATTTTTGTATTTTTAGTAGAAACAGTGTTTCAACATCTTAACCAAGCTGGTCTCAAACTCCTAGCCTCAAGCGATCCATCCCCCTTGGCCTCCCAAAGTGCTGGGATTACAGGTGTGAGCCACCGTGCCCACAGGGATGCATGCTTTAAATCTCAGTTTTTCTGAGACTTATAGTCAGGGTTTTGGTTTTTTGAGTTTTTTCCTCTCTTATGAATTCCACATATTTTCAAAATTTTTCTAAGATATTTTACAGACGCTTCTAAGACATTTACTGGTACAAATAGTTTGTTTTCCTATCATGTTTTCTAGTTGCTTATTGCTAAATAAGCCTTATATTTTAGAATGTTAATTCTAAATGTTAATTTGCCATCCGACTAATTAATATAAAATTAATTCTACTTTTTCCCAGCTATTTTCCTGAGATCTGTAAATAATAAGAAAAATGTCTTTTTTCTCTTGTGGTAAGCATACCTTGCTTTTTTCCTTCAATTGTGTTACTAGGCACTTCTAGACTGTGTTCAGTAATACTGGTTACGTGGGCATCTTTGTCTTGCTCTTGACTTTAGTGAGAAGGTCTGTAGTATTTCACCTTTAAGAATGTTGGTGACTATTGGCTTGCACCGATGTTATTTATTAAGTTAAGGAATTATCTCTCAATTCCTATGTTTCTAAGTCACTTTATGAGTAATTGGTATTGGATCTTACAGAATGCCTGTTTAACACCCTTCAGGGTCAACTTATGACAGGGTACTATGTTTCTGATCCACTGTCAATATAATACATTAAAATAACTATTTCCTAATTTGAAGTTTTTTTCTTTTTAAGATTGGAAGATCAATGCAGCCTAGGTGACAGAGCTCTGAATTACACACTTCCGGAGCAGGCATTTTCAACAGGGCAGTGGCCAGCAGGGCAAAAACTGGTTCTTGGGGAAGGAGCAAGAAAACCTTAGATATTACACAGTTTGTGGCACTCCAAGGGGCCACAGCATATCAGCAGATTTAAAAGATAGCTGTGGTACTGAAATTTGAAGACAGGAAAAAGAATTAAAAGAATTAGGTGGAAGAAGACTTTTTAGTCTCTAAAGGAGAACAATTAAAAAAAAAAAAAGGTAAAGAAACACTGTTCTGGAGTCTATCGGCCCATATTTAATTTTGAGTTTTGACATCTTTGTTTCCTTCTGAGAATGTTTTTCTACCACCTCCCACCATAAAAACAAGTACAGTATTAGCCAAGTATGGAATTCACAGATCACAAACATGTACCTTCTAACCTCTGCATGGTTCTTGACTGCTGTCATGTAGTTACTATTACAGAAGACAATTCCAAGGCCAGCCTATTTTGGGTCCTCTAACACAAAGAATCATGTTTTCTCTCTGGATCAGTGGTTTCCAATAGAACTTTCAGTGATGATGGAAATGTTCTATATTCGTGCTTGTCTATACAGTAGTCACTTGTCACATGTGGCTATTAAGCCCTTGAAATATGGCTAATGTGACAGAGAAACCAATTTTTAATTTAACAAAATGAATCAATTAACTTAATTTAATTTTACATATCCATAGCTCCATGTGGCTAGTAGCTACTGCATTGAACAGTGCAGAACTAGATGCTTGTGGGGTTCTTTCTTTATTCTTGAATAAAAAATGTCCAGTAACGTTGAAAAGTACTTTTCTAGAATGACTAACATCTTTGGGGCCTGTAGCCTTACTCTTCTGACTCAAAGCTTGGCTCTGGTCAAGAGAAAGCCAATGCTTTACCAGTCAATGGCATTTCTGGTTCCTAGGCCTTTTGACCTTGGGGTCTGGCTGGTGTTTGCATGGTAAAATGTCCATAAAAAAGTAGCAGTGGAGATATCAGACATGGTAAGATGTTTGTCATAAAGGCAAGAAATGCAAAAAATTAAGATATAATTTGTGTCACTTTCCCTCAAATTATAGATATATTCAATAAATGGCTTAGGTTATATACAGTAAAGATACAATTTTTCTTACTCTTATGTTAAAAAAAAAAAAAAACTGATTCCACTATCACCTAGCTAGAGCCCACTTACCCAAGTCTACTGCCATTGTCTCGTTGGCTGGGCTCACAATCACAGGCCTCGTGGGTTTGTTTTCCTCTGAAAGAGAAACAGCCATAGAGTTTGTCAGTCTCTTATAGATCAGAATCTCAAGTGATAACAACACTTAGCAAAATATACCAAATGACTTCTGGCCAGATACTCCATCAAGTATTCAAAGCACATATGCCAGGAGACAGGAGGGAGGAACTGAAGGAAGAAAGCTGAGGCAGAGGCCACAGCACACTGTGAACCCTGGGGCAGAGCTAGACCTTCTGAACCCATAGAGTGAGGTGCTACTGAAAAACACACACATCATCAGGACCCTCGGTCCCCAGACAAGTGCATCTCTTAAGTGAAAGCACGTCAGGAAAGGCGAGAATAGTCACTTCCTTGAACTGGGTGTTACTGGCCAGCAGGGCTAGTCAGTACTAGACCCTTTGCGTTTAATAACTGTGGTAATGACTCAATAGAGACAACTGCAGGGTTATAGAACAATACTGCAATTTATTAAAATAGGCCCCAAAAGTATCAAGGAGCCCCAGAAATTAATCTGACTTATTTATGAAAAGATTGGCTTCAGGGGTTGATCTGTGGCCATGAAAAAAACTATGAGAAATTATAAATTTGATCACTCAGTATTCCACCAGTCAAAAAAAAAAAAAAAGTGAACACCATGAAGGTAGGATATTATCTCTTTCATTCCCTAATGTATACCTATAACAGTTCCTGAGACATAGTGAGTGCTCAATAAGTATTTTTGAATCCTCGAGTAAACAAAAAGCACTAGGCATCATTGGGGCAGGTCTTGGGAAGAAAGCAAAATATTACCTCACCCCAAGTAGAGTATATTGTTTCTACAAATGGGATCAGAAAAAAGGAACAGAGTGTATCTAAAATACACTTAACCAAGCTTAAATATTCCCCAGTGCCCAGTTCTCTCTCGAGCTCTACTTGCTGGTTTGCTTGCTATGTTTCTGGAAAGAGAGAGCAGAGCTCCACAATGACAGGACACAGGCTACTAAAATCTCAGTAACATGGTTTGATACAAACGAAAATTAAGATTCACTGATGCTTGTGGGACAATGGCAAGGAATTTATTTTTATTTAATAAAATTATTCTTTGGAAAATAAAGTATTATATAACAGGAAAAGTGAAGCCATTTATAGGGTGATCATATTATGAGTTTGTTTGAGATATTCCCAATTTATATCTGTTGTCCCAGCATAACTACTAATAGACACCCATTTAACCTGCAAAAAAAATTCTGGTTGAAATATCTCTTCTTATGTTACATAAAGTTTACAAAAATCTCAATATTTACAAAAAGTTTGAGCAATCTGACTATCCCCAGGTAATTTGTGCACTTTGTTTCATTTTGTGTGTTATGGTTTTCAATATGAAACATGGTTAATGCAGAATTGAAAGACGCAAGAAAATTAACAAGAACAATCACCACACACCTGTTAATTGCATAGTTGTTTAGCACCAAGCATTTATTTGCATCAGGCACACAAGTTTAGTATACTCCATATCTCTAATCTTCCCAATAAGATAGGGAGATTGCATCATCTTGTTACAGAGGAGGAAACAGGCTTAGAGAGGTTAATAGCTAACGCAGAAAGAACAGGAGGTAGATTCTGGAAATGTGACTTATTCTAAAGCTCATTAGTGTCCACACTGATGCTTGCTGCTAAACACTGAGACTCACCGAGTCTCCCTAAGTACAGAACATTCCCATATACCAGCCACAGGGAGCCCCAGAGCTTTCAGTAAGAACCATTTTTAGCCATGCCAAAGAACAACCCTCTTAGATTGGTTGGAAAACACAGCTCATAATGTCTCTATTTAGTTAGCACTACATCTGAAGCAGGAATGGAAAACATTACATAGTATTTAGTAACACCAAAACAAAACTAAAGCCACCTGACTTTTGTGTTATCATTGAGCTCGTCTTGGATTTAGTTTCTTTATGGACAATGAAAGTAATATTAGAATCACAGTCTCTGGGCCTTCCCAGATCTAAACCTTCTAGGGCTGGAACTATGACTCACCTAGAGTAATAAATTCTATTACTCGGGTAATAGGATATTGCTTGCCCAAGTATGCGTAGGATGCATGACAGGTATAGTTCCCTCTATGCTTTTCAGTCACATTCATCATGATGAGCCTATCTTTGACTCCACTAAAATGTATAGTGTCAAGAAGTAGAGGTTTGCAATCCTAGATAAAGGGAGAGAGAAACATTGAAAACCAATTAGTAACTTTTCCCAATCTACCAGCCAAAGGAACTCCATTTTTTTCACATTAGCAAATGCTATATATTTAGAAAGTGACTGGAAAAGTTCCTTACATACAGTAAATTTTAATATTGGTTTTTTGGAAACAGTTAAGTATATTCCTATGACATTAAGTTTTTAAGTCTGTGAGCCTTGTGCTATGAAAGTAAGTGAAGACCAATTTATTTTGCAAGAAAAACATGTTTGAAAGAAAACGTTAACACTATATAGTTTCCTAACAATACTGCACTTCATTTCTTCACTGATATGATTTATTTAGTATGTCTTAAGCACTACAAAATGATTCCCCATTTAAGTCCCACCAGACTAGGTAGATTAAAGGTACCAAAACATGGTGTGTTCCATGGAAAGCAAGTCAACCCACTTTTAAGACAGTTATGGAAACTAGCAGGTTATTTGAAGACCATATCTTTAGGAAAATACACATAATGTATTTTGTAATAGTTATATCTTAAATACCTTAAGTTTATAGTCAGCCTTCTCTTTAAACATCTATTTCTGTTACTTTTCTAAAATACATCTTATTAAATTAAATAAAAACAATAGCAAGTAAGTTTCTAGTTAAGCTTCAAATAAAGTGAATGCACTCTTACAATTCTTTTTAGATTCTCTATTAAGTTACACCATTAAAGATAAAACAATATGCAAAATAAAAAGATACTTTGCAGATTCATCCTATTGTCCAGGGAACTATATTATTTTCCAGAAAAGTGAAATATCATATTTAAAATAAAATTACCTTATACCATTGCATTTTAGGTAACTCATTATTTTCATCTTTAAAAAACTCTAGATAAGGGCAGACAAGTGCTCCATCTCCTCCAATGAGTAGTTTCTGCGTAAATATGGCTTGTGCATTATAACACAAGTTAGGCTCATTCTCCACAAATTTTGCAGTTATTTTAATTTTGAGGCAGTGAGATGAATTTCTAAAATAAAATAGGTAAATTGAGCATTATTAAAAGTATTTTTGTCCTTAATGACTACAGAAACCCAGAACGCATGTTTGTAACATACTAATTCCTTTCTTACCTTACCACACAATGGTAATGTCCTGAATCCTCTACCTTAGCAGGAACAAACCAGAGTTTCTCTCTGTGCTGATGAATCCTGGAGGCTTGTTCTGTAGATATAGGTGTCTTGCTGTCATTTTTATACCACGTTATGGTACCTTTGTTTTCATTTGGGTTAAGAGGACAGGCACGAACATCAATTTCATTTGCAGATGAAACTAAAATTATTTTTCCTTCACGTTCCTTGCATTTATCTTTAAAAGGGAGAAGGGGATAAGAAATTTATAGATAAAGTTTGCTAGCATCTCTGAACTTAATATCTACAAAGAAATATGTCGATTATTAAATACATCAATTCACATTACATATAAAAGCTTTACAGCCTTGTGATAAGAGCATTGTCTTGGGAGTCTGAGAAGCATGTTCAAGTCCAGTTGTGTCACTCACTGCCTGTGTGCTGTGCCTTTGGCAAGTTATGTAACCCCCTTCACCCCCTTTTTACTCATCTAAAAAGTGGGGAGAATGTAGAAGGAGAGAGATGTATTTCAGTACAAGATGGAGCAACAGAAACTGGATTTACCTTCCCACATGAACAACTAAAAAATGGACAACATATATGAAACAACACTATTCAAGACACTGAACATCAGAAAACAAAGGACAGAAACCCCATAAAGATGAGGAAAAAAGGAGGTGAGCCCTCCCATCGTCCAAAATTATAGCCAGGCTATGACATTGCTGAGAAGAAACATAGGCAAAGCCCAGTGAGTTGAGATGAAGCTGAGAACCTGGGTAGACCAAGTTTGCAGAACAGAGTACCCAAGTACTTAGAGCTGAATGAGGACAGGGAGAGAGTCTGAGGATACCTGAGAGTCTCCTCCAGTTTTTCAGCTGAGTAACAGTCAGTGCAAGAATGTAAGAAAATGACTCAAGGCTAGAGAGACAATTGCCAAAATGACTGGAGGGAGTAACGCCTGGAGAACGCCCAATGCTGGAAATGCTGTTCTCAACAGCCTCATTAATGATAAGGCCTCAGAGTACCCAGAAGGGTTCTGACTCAGTAATTGGGGGAAATTAGGCCTAGAATAAACTTTTTCCTGATCCTAATAAAGCTTAAAAGCAAGACCCGAAAGGATTAAACTATTTCCAATAACAGTCATGTGGCAGAACAATGCTCAAGAACATTTTGGGGAATATGAAAATATCCAGCACCCAACATAGTAAAATTCACAATGTCTAACATCCAGAAAAATCATTAGGCATGCAAAGAAGCAGTAACATAGGCCGGGCGCGGTGGCTCAAGCCTGTAATCCCAGCACTTTGGGAGGCCGAGGCGGGTGGATCACGAGGTCAAGAGATCGAGACTATCCTGGTCAACATGGTGAAACCCCGTCTCTACTAAAAATACAAAAAATTAGCTGGGCATGGTGGCACGTGCCTGTAATCCCAGCTACTCAGGAGGCTGAGGCAGGAGAATTGCCTGAACCCAGGAGGCGGAGGTTGCGGTGAGCCGAGATCGTGCCATTGCACTCCAGCCTGGGTAACAAGAGCGAAACTTCGTCTCAAAAAAAAAAAAAAAAAAAAAAAAGAAGCAGTAACATACAACCAATGATAAGGAGGGAAAAAATCAATCAATCAGAACTGACCCAGAAATGACAGAGACAATAGACTTAATAAGTTAAAAAATTTAAATAGTTTATTACTATTGTATTCCATTTATTAAAGATGCTAGAGGAAAGATCAAACATGATTAGTGAAGACATGAAAGAGATTTAAAAAGAAACTTTTAGAGATGAAAACAACAATGTTGAGTTACAAAAACCAATGGATGGGATCAATGGCAGATTTGATACTGTGGGAAAACAAAACGAAACAAAACAAAACAAAACAAAAAACCATGAGTAAACTTGAAGACACAGCACTAGAAATGATCCAAAATTAAGCACAGAGAAGAAAATAACAGAATAAAATCGACAGGGAATTATTTAGCTTAGGACTTCAATACATGTAATACAAATCACTGAAGAAGAAAAACGAAAACAGTAAACGTATTTTAAGTTTTTCAAGATGTGATAAAAATGATGTATACATAGTCCTCCAAATCACAGTGAACCCCAAGCAAAAGAAACATAAAGAAAGTTACTCCAAACACATAATAATCAAATTGTTTAAAACCAGTAACAAAGATAAAATCTTCCATGTAGCCAGGGAGAAATGACACAATTATTGCAGAGGAAAAAAACAAAAATCATGCAGCCTTCTTTCCAAAAACAGTACAAGCATGAAGATAGTAAAACAATATTGTTAAGGTATTGAAAGAAAAAGTCTACCTGGAATTCTATACCCAGTGAAAATATATTTAAAAGTTAGAAAAAAATACTGACTTCTTCAGATTTGCAAAAGCTGTAAAATGTCATCAACAGTAGACCTGCATTACAAGAAATACTTAAGTCCTTCAGAAAGGACAATATTCTAGAAGAAAATGAATCTACAGGAAAGAATGAATAGCAACAAAAATGTTAACTACATGAACAATTGTAAGATCATCCTTCTTTTTATTTAAATCTCTTTAAAGATAACTGAGTATTTACATAAAAAATAATAAAATGTTATAAGGTTTATAACAAGTAAAGAAGTAACATATATGGAAATAATAGGGCAAAGTTTAAGAAAGGAGAAATGGGTATATACTATTTTAACTTTGTATACTATATGTGAAACCATATAGGGTCACTCGAAGGCGGACAGAAATAACTTAGAGGTAGCTATTTAAGCCCCAGATCAGTCATTAAAAAGCACATACACAACGAACTTATGACTAATAAGCCAACACATGAAGTAAAATGAATCCTAAAAATGCCAATTAATCCAAAAGGCAGCAAAAAAGAGAACAAAATAACAGAATTGATGGGACAAATAGAAAACCAAATAGCAAGATCCCAGAATTAAACCCTAATATATGAATAATCACACTAAAATTTCAAATAGTCTTAACACTCTCATTGAAAGGCAGAAATAATCAAGTTGGCTAAAGAAAGACCCAACTATGTAGTACCTAACATAAACACATATATCTACATACACAGAGTTTATAAATAAAGATAAAAATAGATTAATAAGAAAAGAAAAGAGATTTGCCTTGTTAACACTCATGAAAAGAAAGTTAGATTAAATAGCTGTGGGTAACCATTTCACAATATATACATATACCAAAACATCACAGTGTACATTTTAAATATATATGATTTTGTCAACTATGCCTTAATAAAAAGTAATTAGTGAAAGCTTGAGTGACTATTATATTATCAAAGTAGATTCTACAGTAAAAATATTACAAGAGAAAAGGGACATTTCATAAAAATAAAGAAGTTGGCCAGGTGTGGTGGCTCACATCTATAATCCCAACATTTTGGGAGTCCAAAGTGGGTGGATCACCTGAGGTCAGGAGTTTGAGACCAGCCTAACCAACACGATAAAATCCCGTCTCTACTAAAATACAAAAAAAAATTAGCCAGGCATGGTGGTGAGTACCTTTAATCCTAGCTACTCGGGAAGCTGAGGCACGAGAATTGCTTGAACCTAGAGGGTAGAGACTGCAGTGAGCCAAGATCATGCCACTGCAGTTAGCCAAGATCACACCACTGCACTCCAGCCTAGGTGACAGAGAGAGACTTTGTCTCAAAAAATAAAAATAAAAAATAAAGAATTCATTCATCAACAGGAACACAAAAATACTAAATGTTTATGCACCTGCCAACAGTGTTTCAAAATACATGAAGCAAAACTGATAGAACCGTAAGAACTAGAGAAACTAGTTCTGCAAGAAACTAGAGGAACCCCACTCACAAGGATTGACAGAAGAAGCAGTACAATTAAACAGATAATCAGTCACAATATAGAAGATTTGAACAACACTATCAACCAATTTGGCACTATTGATATTTGCAGAAAATTCCAACCAACAACAGTAGAACGTTACATTGTTTTTTAAGTGCACACATAAAACTCAGCAAATTTTCCATATTCTTCCGCATAACCCAAGACTCAATAAATTTAAAAGGATTCAAATTAGACAAAACTTATTCTCTGGTGACAATGGAATTAAATTAGAAATCAGTAACAGAAAGATATCTAAGGAATCCCTATGTATTTGAAAACTAACATACTTCTAAATATGAGTAAAAGAAATAAAAAAGATTATAAAGTATTTTTATCTGAATGATAAGGAAAACGTAACAGATCAAAACTTGTGGCATTCAATGAAAGCAGTACTTAGAGGGAAATTGCTAGCATTAAATGCATATTTTTTTTTAAAATCTCAAATTGATGACTTGAGCTTCTACCTTAAGAACATAGAATAAGGACAAAGTATATCCAAAGTAAGCAGCAAGCAGAGATTCTATACCTGGGTCTTCATTTACAAAGATGACTGAGTGACAAAATAAAGACTAATACCACTGAAAGATTTGTATTACTTAATGGTTTGAAAAGAAGAGATATGCCATACCATGCAAAACCACAAGGAAAATCACTAGACTTCACCAGACTGGGTTCAAAGGCAGAGGCAAAAACAAAAAGAAAGCCTAGGCCAGAGTCTTTACTGGGGTTCCCGTGGGAAAGGCAAGGCAGGACAGCATAAACAGCTTCAGACTGGCCCATTTGAACCATTTTTGCAGGCTGTGAGCATAGAGTCTGTTCCTGCTTCTCTGGTACCTGGCCCTGGGTTGACTGAGGCTGGGGTAATATTGGTTTGGGGTATGAGAGTTGTTGGATAAGGAGATGAGTGGGGCACAGTCTTGGGTCAGACAGTCTCACATGAAGGGCAGGACACTCCATGTAAGCTGTTCACAACACACTTAGGAACTGCTTAGCCCTTGGGAGGGGCAGCACCTCCTTAGATATGAAAGAGCTTCTAGAATGTCAAAATATGGTAAGATATAGGAAATAAAAAACATGATTAATATAGCAGAAGAAGTAAGAAAATAGTAGATCAGAGAGCAAATCAACGAAATAGAAAACAAGAACAATGAAGAAAAACCAGAGATACCAAAAGCTGGTTCTTTCATAAAATCAATAAAATTAATAAATATTTATCTAGACTAATCAAGAAAAGAAAAAAGAGATGACATCTCTTATTAAAATAATTTGTAAACGGTAGTGAGGGAATATTATAAACAATGTTATGACAATGAATTTAATAACATAAATGAAATGAGCAAATTCTCTAGACACTAAAGCTCCCCCAAGAAGAAACAGATAGCCTAAATTGCCCTATATGTATTTATTAATACAATATTTTATTCAAAGAAATAGAATTTCCAATTCCAATATGGTGAAATTGAATTTCCATTCCAATATGGTGAAATGAGAGTCTCATAAATCATTCCTCAATAAAGGCAACAAAAAGACTGGCAAAAAATTTTCAAAAAATCACAGGCTTATAATAACCAGAAAAGCATTTATTAGAAAATAAGGAAATAAACAGAAACATAAGGAAATAAATAGAAACACGCCAAATCAGAGTAGATTAGCAGAGTTTGTAACTTTATAATTTAAATGACTCCCATCCTACTTTTCCTAGCTCTACAACAGCCATGAGTATCAGGACCTTTGCAGACACAAAGGCTTTGAAAACCAGCAGGTGTGCAAGAACAGAGAAGTTTTGGAGCTCCTCAGGAAGTCCGGTTCCCAAAGCATTGCCACTCTTTGACCTGAACGGCAGGTCTTCAAAGGAATGTTCATAGGGTGGTGGTGTTATTGACCTCACCAAGAGCTCCACAGGAAAAGCACTATCCCCAAGATGTTTGCTGGAAAAACTCAGTGTTGTTTTTTTACAACTGCCTAAGGCTGCAATACCAGAGCCATAACCACCAGAGGGCTTTGAAAAGCTCTGACACATTCCTGGGGAACCTAGAAAGAGGCCCATGTATGCAGGGCTGTGTGCATGCCCAGGAAACTGCAGACAAGGCATGAGGCTCTCATTTCTGGATGACTCTGAGGTCATACAAAAGCAGGAAATGAAAGCTAAGGCAAAGCTGTAAACAGCCTTAATGTTGAAGGTATGCTCCAACACACATAGAGCCCCTCAGCAAACGGGGGAAAACTTACTTATTGGACCAAGAAATTTAAGACAATCTCTGGCTCAGTCCTTAAAGTCTTATCTTTCCTAACTACACTCCATGATCCCATTCAGTCTGATGATTCTCATACCAGCCACTTGCTGAGGTCTCCAATTTTATATATTCAACTCAGACCTCTCCCTCAGACTGCAGACTGCCTAGTCAAAGTTACCATTTAAACATCTAATGGACAGCTAAACTTAACATGTCCAGTATGGAAACCTGATCTTCCCTATCCCATCAATGGAAATTTCACCTTGCATTTGCTCAGGCCAAAATTCCCTGAGATCATTCTTGATTCTTCTCTTTTCTTCACACCTCACATCTGGCCCAACTCCAAATCCCTCTTGGTTCTGTTCCCAAAACATTTCAAAATTTGACTACTTCCCACTTCTCCTTGCTACCCTTTGACAAGGAGGGTACCCATTCAACATTTCTTGTTTAGAAAAAGCCATCATCATGGCTTAAGTCTTAACTGGCTTCTCTATTTCTCTCTTTGGCTCCCTTGGATCTATTCTCAAAACACGAATCAAAACATCAGTCAGATCACCTCTCTGGTTTTGAACAAAGAACTCTGCAGTCTTCCCATCTCAGCCAGACTACAAGTCAAGACCCTAAGAAAGGGTGCAACATTCTACATAATCAACCCTCTGCCATCTCCCTATTATGTAGATAGCCTGGTTCCTTATGACTTCCCCCATCTCTCACTATGCTCCAGCCACACTGATATTTTTATTCCAAAAGCATGCCAAATACTCTTAGCCTATGGACCTTTGCACATGCTGCCTGGAATATTTCCACACCCCAATCTGATATCCAAATAGCTCTCTTTTCCCCTTCCTTAAGGTCACTCAAAAGTCAACTACTCAGTGAGCATTTTCTGGCCACACACAAAAAATTAATCTTCTGCCCACTCTAATTCCAAAATCTTATACTCTGTTTTTCCTTCCTATATTTGTCATCATATGACACAACATATATCTACTTATCTGTTATCTCTCTCTTCTACAAGAATATAAACCCTATGCAGGCAGGTATTTCCATCTGGACTATTCCCTGCTGTATCCCCAGTACTTAACATCTGGCACACAGAGAAGCGGTAAGAGAAAATGAAGAAATGGAAAGAACAAGAAAAAGAACTGTATCTTGATGACTTCCAACTGAGTGTTCATAAAAAGTATGCGTAATATCTCATCCAAATGAAAGTCAGAATTTCCTGTATCACACTTTCAAATAACAGCCAAGTGGAAAGAGGGCTGGACTTAGATTGGAGACCTAGATTTTAGTTTTTGCTCCAAAACGATCTACATATCCTAGGGCCCTTAACCTCACTGCGCCTCAGTTTCCCAGTCTATATGTGAAAGAACAAGAGGAAGATGCTAGGAGGAACTTCCAGCAGTACAGGTCTATGACCAGGAGGCTCTCTGCCCAGGGATTCAACAGAAACGAGTATGAGAAATGACTCTCTTAGGGAAGGTACTTCATGTATTCTAAATAACAGATTTTCTTAGCAGACAAGAAAACAAAGAAATAGTTAACTTACCAGCCTCCAGAGAAGAAATCAGGAGAGCTATGAAACAAGTAAGTCTGAGTAACACTTTCATATTCTCCTGGAGAGATGGAGGAATGGAAGAAAGACAAAAGCAAAAATGTTACTTTTCCAACAAATCTCTTAAACTAAATATGTCAACACCCGCCCTGTTCCCACCCTCACCCACAAGTCACAGTGATGAATTAGTTTTTCTACATCACGAATGTTATCATGTTGGACTTCTGGTTAGCAAATGGGATGGTGACAAAAAGGGATAAAGAGTTTTCAAAATATTGAGAACAAACTCAATGACTTAAGATTTTAAACATTTTCATCTGCTGTCCCATTATACATTTCCAGGCTTGCATCCCATTTAAACTTCCCCAAATCTAGTCTACATCCGAAGTCAGCTAGGCACTCACCCCTAAGCCAGCTCACCTCCACTTGTGTGATTTGTTCCCCACTTGGAATGTACCCTGCTGCCAGGACCCACTTGCAAAATCAACCCACACTTCTAGGCCAGCCTTCATTTTGTATTTCAAGATACTAAATTGCTTGCACAATACAATATAGCTATATAGAAATCACCCAAAAAAACCTAAAAGAAATGATAACATATTAAAATTGGGTTGGGTGGGTTTCCCCTTGTCTAGGATTTCTGTACTTTCTAGAATATCTGCAATTAACTTTGTATGAAAAAAAGGGACTGGAAAGGAAAAGAAGAAAAATCTCCACAATCCCCTGGTAGTTTAAAAGTCCCCACCAACACAGCATCAGCTACAACAGATAATGGGTTAGCAACAGGACTACGTGTTAAACTGAGGTCCTGGTAACTGATTGATTTAATTACATAAGGCTTGTCCACATACATGGCAGGGGGCAGAATCAGGTTTGGTACTTGTCCAATATAGCAAGTCTACAGGGAGAGCATGCCAATGGCTTTACCTACAAAACAGTATCAAGTGAATGTAAAAGAAAAAATAATCCTATTTTGTCTACCTTTCCACATTAATATTCAGTGTAGCCTTTTTCTTCCTGAGTGTTCCTGTCCTGCTCCTGAACACCGACCTTGTGATGATACACAAGCTCCAGTGTTGTGTCTCCAGCTGAATTTTGCACAGATTTACTCAAAGGCCCCTGTGTACTTCAAACTCAGTAGGCCCCCCAAGACCAAACCCATTCTCACTCCACCAAATGTACCTCACCCCATGCTCCCCACTGCAGTGACAGGCACAGCACTGCTCTGAACCTACTGGATTACTCAACAAGGGACCAGGGATAAATGATATTGTGACCACTGCCCCGCAAAGCTGTGCTCTCTCCCTAGGAGTCTGTCTCCTTAGATCATCATGCCCACCCCGCCACCCCAGTTCACTCATGGCCACTGGTGATGCTGCTTTAGCTCAAGCAATCTCCAGCTCTTGCCTGGATTCATTATGGCAACAGGCTCCCTACTGGGCTCTCTGCCTTCAGATTTATGCCTCCAGTCAATCCAAAGCCTACAAACTACCCATCACCATATGATCTGCTCAAAACACCCTCACTGGCTCCCCAGTGCACCCACAAGTACTCCAAACTCCCCAGCAAAGCCTATGGCTTCCTCACGGAGAGGCTTTGACTTGCCTCTCCACACCCCATGTCCCGCAGCACATTCCACACTCAGGCCTCACCTGGGCAGGTGCTCCAGCCTCAGAGACATCGCCTTCTCTATTCCCTCCACCTTTCACCTGACTACCTCCCACATCTGTCCACATCTTGGCTCCAAGGAAACCCCCAGACCCCTTGCCTGGCTTCTTCCTCCTCTGAGCCCCCACCAACCCATGTGTTCACCTGCCACAGCCCTGAGCACACTGTGCTGCAGTTGTCCTGGCCAGAAAACCTCATGGCATCAGGAACCAAGGCCAGCTCCCCTCTGCACCCACAGCACCCAGCACTGTGCTAGCAACAGAAGCCCTTAATAAAGTCTCCTGGGATGAATGAAAATAATGAACCTACTTCCCCACTTGGAATGTGCCCTGCTGCCAGGACCCACTTTAAAAAATCAACCCATACTTCTAGGCCAGCTCAAAGGTCATGCCTTCATTTTATATTGCAAGATAATAAATTGCTTGTATGATAGGATATAGCTACATAGAAATGCACCAGAAAAGACTAAAAGAAATGATAACAACATATTCAAATTGGGTTGGGTGGGTTTCCCCTTGTTGGGGCTTTCTATACTTTCTAAAATATCTACAGTGAAATTTGTATGGAAAAAAGAGAAAAAACTCTAATCCCTTCTGCTCAACCTAGGGGCAATGTCTAGAGTAGACCATGTAATTCTGCTCTTTGAACTGCCTTTTAATTTTTACAGGAGATTAAATTTGCCTATATTCTTATCTGTAGCTGTAAGTTAGTAAATAGGAAAACATAAAATATTTTAACACAATATTCATTCAGAGTCTAACAACATGCAGTCATTTGAATATTAGCTGGAAAATGTTCTTTTTATGAAGGTGTATTATGGCTGGGTGCAGTGACTTACCCCTGTAATCCCAATACTTTGGGAGGCCAAAGTGAGCAGATGACTTGAGGCCAGGAGTTCAAGACAAGTTTGGCCAACATGGTGAAACTCCGTCTCTACCAAAAATACAAAAACTGGCTGGGCATGGCAGTGCATGCCTATAATCCCAGCCATTTAGGAGGCTGAGGTAGGAGAATCACCTGAACCTTGAACCCAGGAGGCAGAGGTTGCAGTGAGCCAAGATCAATCCAAAGTGACTGCACTCCAGCCTGGGTGACAGAATGAGACTCCATCTCAGGAAAAAAAAAAAAGTGTATAGGTATTTTTTTTTAAGTTGCAACATGCTTTTTCAACAAATACAGGGAAGAAAGATTTTCTAAGCATGTGAGACATACCCATTCATATTCTCCTCACTTTACCCCCAGTATCAGGACGATGATCCCTGAGTCTGGCTCAAGTCTTGAAACCTACCTCAGAGCAGTAAAACTGCATTCCTCCAATATCCTTTAACTCTGACCCTTTATTCACATTAATTGGCTTCCCAAAACAGTCTAGAATACTAGTATTATTACCATCTCTACCTTTAAACTATATTCAGATGATTAAATAAGATAGAGGCCTTTGAAGCCCTATATCCTGGTCTATGAACTCTTTCTGTGATTGCATGAAGTGTGTTTTAAGTCTTTGTGATAGAGAGGAAGGAAAGAAAGGGTTAAAATGTTTCCCAGTCACCAGTTCCAGGCCAATCTGCTATGTGCATTAGTTTATCAATAACAAAATAAGGGCATTGCAAAGTCACCTGAACACTGCCAGCTGTTGGTTCGTTTAGTTACAAGATCTGGCTTGTCTGATGGTTAGGCAGGGGAGAAGAAAAAGAAGATGTCTGACTGAACTTTATGGAGTGTATCATGAGATATAAACCCAAATTAATTGTGGACAATGTTTAATCACAGGTCCAAGGCCGGTGGCCTGTACCACAAGGCAGGGTGATATTGGACACAACTCTCCCTGGGCCCCAGTGTGCTCATCTGCATGACGGGCAACGAACCAGCTGATGCTGGGCCCCATCCTCCTCTAATAGACTGTAAAAAGGTAAAGAGCCATGTCCCCTGGGTCCAAGTTTACTTCTGCCCCAGAGCTGCTCTGGGACACAGTCAGGGGGGTGGGAGTGGCCATGTCCCCTCAGCAGTGGGCTTTTGGAATCCATGTCATAGATCCCCAGGACCCTGCGGCAAAGAGTTGACACTGAGCTTGGGATGGGTGTTAAGGATCACGTGACCAAAGGGAGTGAGGACATCAGAAGGGAAGGAGGTGAGGGTTGCACCTAGATTAACCCACACACTCCCAACAAAAATTAACACAGACCCCATTACGCCCTTGAATAACCCAGAAATTCCAAGGCAGAGCCAGACCTGACCAGCCTCTAAAATGCTCACAGTTGAATGGCTATCCAAGTCAGAAGTCCCTCAACATAGATAACATATTGAGTAAAAGGTCAGCCTCTGTGCCTCAGTTCCCCCTTTTGACAAGCATTTGTCACTGATGGTGCTGTGTGGGTGAAATGAGTGACCACATGCAAAGGGCTTAGAAAGGTGCCTGGCACATGGTCATTCCCAATTGCTAGCTATTGGAAATCGCCCCATGCTCTGATGACAAATAACAGTTTTCATAAAGTGTTTTCAGTTAACCATCCATTTCTTTATTCACTCACTGCTGCATTCAACAATCCTATATCAAAAATCTACTTGGCTTTGGGAACAAAAATAGGAACAAGGGTCCCAGGGCCTGGGTCCAGAAGCTCAGCAGTCTCAGGGAATGTGGAGACAGAGTTAGAATATAACGTGGGGGTGTCTACTGAAAGAGCCATGACCAGGGCAGAAAGGGAGACAGGGGCTAACTCAGCCTGGAGGAGGCAGAGGGGAGGATCCAACTATATTATGTTCTGGAGCATAAACTGGAGGTGGGTTCTGAGGGGGAGGCTGAGACGCCACAGGTTCCCACAACATGCGGAGGTTTGCTGAGGAACTCAGGCTGTCATTTGCATGTGGCAGAGAAGTAGGTATGGATTTTAAGCCATGGACTGGTGTATGTTAGATCTCCATTTTTTGTAGACATTTTGGCACCTGTATGGAATATAAACTGGAGACAGGGGAGCTGGGGAGAGCAGGCTGCCACAGAGGTCCACAGGAGAGAGGATAAGGGATGGGCCAGCCGTAGTGACAGACAGGCAGGAGGGGACATATCTAAGAACACTCAGGGCCGGAGGGGAGAAGCAGGGACCAACTGGGCCAAACTCACTGAGCTGGGGCCAGGGAGAGGAAGGGCCAGGTTGGGGGGCAGGTTCAGGTACCCACAGACAGCTCGGGAAAGATGCTCAGAGGGTGTCACCCACAGCATCATAGACTCAGGTCTCTTGGGACGAGGTAGGCAGTACTGACTCTAGCAGAAAGCAAGAATTTGAGCATGTGGTGACAGTGGAGTGAAAATGAACAGCAAAGCCTAGAAGGGGCTGAAATTGGGGAGAACTTGGATGCAGCACTGGGACCCCCCATTTCACAGGTCTCCACTGAAGCACAGCCAAGATGACCTGGGAAAGAGGACAGGCATTGGCTCTTACTGGGGCTGAAGCCACCTTCCACAATTTAATAAAACCATCAAGCTGCCCCAAAGTGTAATGTGTCAACAGAAATAAAATATTTTTGCATACAATGGGACATAGTCCAGGGCCCCTAGATCTGAGGGTGGAGGGGTTCAGCTGTTTGTGAGAAAAGGCCGGCCGTCAGACTCTAGGATGACCCAGCCCTGTTACCTTGGAGAAGGCCTTGACTTTTACCAAGGAGTCCAGCTTCTCAGGAGGGAATCACCATCTTCAGCGGGAGCATCTACCTGGGGAAGGAAGAACACACAAGTGAAGTGTGAACGAAGAGGTCTAAAGGCACCAATTGCTGTGAGGATCTCAAAAGGTGTGTATTAGTTCATTTTCATGCCGCGTTAAAGAAATACCTGAGACTGGGTAATTTATCAAGGAAAGAGGGCTTAATTGACTTACAGTTTTGCATGGGTGGGGAAGCCTTAGATAACTTACAATCATGGTGGAAGTGGAAGCAGGCATGTCTTACATGGCAGCACGAGAGAGAGAGAGAGAGAGAGAGAGAGAGAGAGAGAGAGAGAGAAAGGAGAGAGTGCAAGGGGGGTAGTGCCAAACACTTTTAAACCTTCAGATCTCATGAGAACTCACTATCATGAGAACAGCATGGGGTAAATCTCCCCCACGACCCAATCACTTCCCACCAGGTCCCTCCCTGGACACATGAGGATTATAATTTGAGTTGAGATTTGGGTGGGGACACAGAGCCAAACCATATCAAAGTGTCAGAGGTCATGACATTTAAATGGCCATGAAAATGAGTCCAATGTTTAATAAGTGTATGTCCCGTAATCCTTGGGACAGAATACTTTCAAGAAATCAAATCACAGGGGTAAAGAATACAAAGAGTTTGATAACCACAAGCTATTTTGGTTAAATACGTGCACATGGCACTTTGCTAGAGACCAGATGGAGAAATGAATCAAACCACCTCTAGGGATGTCATGGGTCAACGCACATGAAAACAGGGCTTGAGCTTTGCCAGAGAGAAATGCACCAGAGGCCAGAAAAAAATGAACAGCCTCTGTTTTAGAGGAGGTATCCTCACTCTTCCATTACCAAGCACATTAACATCCCTGCACCCAGTATCACATAATTTAAGTCAACCTCGAAAAGCTGAGTTGTGGTAGCCCTTCTGCAATGTCCTACAGATCTTTCACCATTTATTCACCTGCTTTTGTGGCTATCTTTTAGTATTTAGAGTTCAATTTTTTTTCTTAGCTGAATCATTTCTTTGGGCCTTTGAAAAGCTTGTAAGACCTAAGCATAAGGTTTTTTAACTCTCATCAATAAAACAGCCTGACTAATTCAACATGAAATATTTTCCTTAGACTACACAAACTAAATTACAAGCTATTATTCACTTTTAGGCAGTACACAGCATAACATAAGGTATCAGAGGTGCATTGGCCCATCAATAGGAATCATATAGCACAATTTCAAAGGGGAGACCCCCACATCCTCCTGCTCCCCATCCTCAGACAGTGCCCTCCTGCCTGACCTCAGTGAGTGTGCCCCAGATATGACAGCGGCTGTTGGGAATTATATAGTGAATGGCACCAAAATGGATGGAATGGGGGAGGGGGAGGAGGGTGGGAGGGATGGATTTATTTGGGAGGCCCAGGAAGTTTCTTGCAGAAAAGGTGACTCCCTAATCTCTTCTAATGGCCACATTTTCCCTCCCTTTTCCCCCAGAAACTTGACTTAAGAATTTATATACTCACTGCCTCCATCCCTCATCCATTGCTGAAGCGACCACTGTGTGCCCTCTAAGCTTGCTGGTCCTCTGAGATGCACTGCCCAGGCCACCACCCCTCTTAGGTTCACTATGCCAGGACCCCTCCGTCTCCAGCCCGCTGGACATCTCTCCAGCACCTGGCCATCCCACCGCCCCTCCTGCCTGACCCCTGGGAGGAGGATCAGTGCCCCCTACTCTTCTGCCTTCACTGTCCAGCTGGGTCTGTGCCCAGCCCTGGCTCCCCGCCTTGCCGTTTATAAGCACTGTGCCATTCCACTTCCATGAGCCTCTACAGCACTTCGCGAGTCTGGTAGTCAATTCTTCCATTCCTAGCCTGGCAGCTTCTGGGATTTCTGACCATCTCAGAGGTGATTCTGATCAGAAGCTTCTCCCAGGGCCCTTGCAGACATCCGCTCCTCCAAAGCCAGTTATGACAAGCAACACAGGTTCACCCTCGTACAATGCACCAAGGTACCTCGAACTGCTGGCTCTGGGCCCCCGGATCTGGCAATATTGGGCAGCTCCCCTAGTTGTTGGCATTCCCTACCTGGGTCAGGGAAGAAAGCAGTACAGAGGAGACCCTCCCCTCTCCCATACCCACGAGGAGACCCATCCTACATATCTTGCATGTCTGTCATAAGAGCTCAATAAATACTTGTGAAAGAAAGGAAGGAGGAAGAGAGAGAAAGAGGGAAGGAATCCACCTACTTACCTACCCACCACCTTTGCATGAGACACATGGGGATGAAAACCCAGCGTAGAATCAAAGAAGGAGAAGGATGGAATTAGGGTACAGGATGTAGATCAGATAATAGGATTGCAAGGCGAACCATCGCTGGGGTCTGGAGATGGCCAGGATCCCATAAGAGAGTGGAATCCTTTGCAAGGAGTTAGACAAAGGGCTCACACCCAGATGGCTGTCGAAAGAGCTGGGGTTGGGCATGACCCAGAGGAGAAGAAACTGCAGGAATAGGACTAGAGACTGAGAAATGTTACTGCCAGAAGCATGCTAGGTAAACAAAGCTCCCTTATTCAGAACCAGTTCATCAAAGGCCATTGCAGTTTTTAAAAATGACTTACAACGTACCTTTAAAAAAACACCAGTAACAATAAAAAGTCACAGATATATGTCACTGTGTTATTTTTCAGATTGAATTTTCCACATAAAATAAAATAAGAAAGAGAAAAGGATTAACTCATTCAATACATTAAGAAGCCACCGTATATGATTCCCCCTGTTCAGCCTTCAAGGAAGGATGCCTACGTTATGTGTGAAACCCCTGGACTGGCTAACATCCTCTCCACAGCAGCTCCCAGACAAGGCAGCAGGGAGTGCATCAGCATCAGATGCTGATGTCCAGATCCAGGAGTTAGCCAGATCCTAGGGTGACCCAAGGCCTAGGCTAGTCATCCCCACTTGTGGAGGCCTTGTCCATTCCCTGTAGCACAGCACGGCTTTACGTGACAATCACACGGAAAGGCTCGTGATTGTGAAGATCTTCCGGAGCACAGCCCCAGTCGCTGTCTGGTGATCATGATGTATTTGGAAACACTGAGGTATCACAACATGACTACAGCAGCACATGCGACACACACACAAAGTTACTTGTTGGTTAAAGATAAAATGAAAATGCAGATTTGAGGCATAAAACAATTTCCTGCTAGATCCAGAATGAGAAACTGCAATGCGAAACAAATTATAAAAGTAGAAATTAAGTACAAGAATTAACAATGATCATATTGGCCCCCAACAAAAACCCCTCTTCCAGGAAGGACTGACTTCATCCAACAGCGCCTTCCTGTCCCTCTGCAAGGAATTGCATACCCAGTGCATGAACAGGAAAAGTGACAGCTAGGGAGAGAGGGCTGTCACAGGAACCCAGGTTTATTCCTCAAGGCCTACGGCCCAGTGCAGGGGAAGGAGGCATTTTTCCTGCTCTGCAGCCACAATGCATTTATTAAACGCCTTCTTTTTCTTGAGGAATTTCCCATAATGTTGAGGACCTCCATTCTTATTCCTGAGGAATTCCCCCACATTGTGAGCCCTGCCTTCTAGGATAGAAGCTAGGCACAGGCAAGGTGGCACATAGCAGATGTACCCTTATCAGAACCTCCTGGAGGTCCACTTCTGGGGACAGTGGCAGCAGAGGTGCCCAGAGCTGGGGGAAGCTCATCCTGGCACATGGCATTCTATGTCTGTCCAAACACAGGCTGTGCTATCCTCACCGTGAGACCTGCATGGAGCAGTCCTGCCACATGGCTCCTGCTGCGTGTAGCTACATTCATCTCCACTCCTCTGTCTCCAGCCTCTCCCCAGCTCCATCCCATATTGGGAGGGGCCCTGAGTGTGCACACAGGTAGACGTCTAAGTCCACACATCCATGTCTATCCCCCTCTGAACAGCCCTGGCCAGTCTATGTGCCAGGCAGTAGAGTCCATGGAAATGACCACACAGGCCCTGGAATTAGGGCCCAGGGTGTTTAGGGAGGGAATTCAGGGGTCCGAGGTATACAAGGAACGTGGTTAAGAAGAGGGAAGCTGGTGGGTTAGGATTAGGCCAAGTGGACACATCCTCTTGGCCTTCCACACTTCTCTCCATGCTGAGGGATGTGTTTGGCCAAGTTGCAGTGCAGAGCCCTCCAAGGCACAGGGCCAAACCTCTACAGAGGCCCAAGGAGAGAGAACAGACAGCAGGTGACTCCTCCTTCTTCCAAGGACCTGACACAATCTGAAATTTACAAGAATATCCTCACAGTACTTTCTACATTTCCACCTGATAGCAATAACACGCTCTTCTACCTTCCCATGGAGTGATGAGCTAATGCATTTACAGCATCATTTAATACAGCCTCTCATTCCTAATACTAACCAATACGTGCATATGTGTAGATCTGATGTCATGGAGAAATAATCAGAAAATTAGGCTCCAACTTATTTGGCCATAACTGAGAAGTGACCATGGATGAGTCCCTGAAAAATCAAGGGCTAAAGCAGATTCTTTAGCTCATGACATGTCACAGCCCATGTGTTCTACTGTAAATTGGTGGAAATGTGTACAGGGAATCTATTACAGCGCTGAAGCCAAGCCCATAATTATGATATCCTCCTGTTACCCCTTTGTTTGTTTGTCTTTGAGACAGGATCTTGTTCTGTTGCCCAGGCTGGAGTGCAGTGGTGCAATTACAGCTCACTGTAGCCTTGACCTCCTGTGTTATTCCTTTGTTATAAGAATTCAGACAGCTCCTGTAATCCCAGCACTTTGGGAGGCCGAGGCGGGTGGATCACGAGGTCAAGAGATCGAGAACATCCTGGTCAACATGGTGAAACCTCGACTCTACTAAAATTACAAAAAATTAGCTGGGCATGGTGGTGTGTGCCTGTAATCCCAGCTACTCAGGAGGCTGAGGCAGGAGAATTGCCCGAACCCAGGAGGCGGAGGTTGCGGTGAGCCGAGATCGTGCCATTGCACTCCAGCCTGGGTAACAAGAGCGAAACTCCGTC